ACATGTAATCTGTGTCCTCGTGTGTTTTAATATGTGGGTGTGTTTGCAGGGCGACAAGTCTAAAAGCCTGTTTGTTCCGGTTCATTCTCTGGAAGACACTCAGGCCATTCGAGCCGTCGCCTTCCACCCGTCTGGGTCGCTCTACGCTGTGGGATCCAACTCCAAAACACTACGCGTCTGTGCTTACCCAGACACGTTAGACACAAGGTAACACAGAGCTCAAGCCACTTATTCTCCTAATCAAATTAACCCTATCTGTTACATATGTATTTATGGTTGATTGTATGAAGCATCACAACAAAATTCACTGGCCATGACATCATGTTGTGATCTTTGCATCCTGCATCCAGTGTAGAATATAGTTGATGATGATATTTTGAATCATAGCCAACTTTTTCTTCTAAATATGAATTATTATTAAACATAACACCTTGTCTGTATGACATTTACATGATATGGCATCCATCCTGTGATGGTAAACATGTATTCAACATGGTTCCTGAAATGTTTGGAGATACTGTTTTGAACAATGGTTCAACCTGACCATGGATCTGCAGACCACTGTTCTCTGTATCATAAATGTGTTTTCCTTTAGTTAGTAAGAAGCTTTTGATAATATCACGTGATCATTCTCAGCAGATGTAGTTGCAAAGTTGTCAAAAAAGTTCAAATTTCCATTTGATTGTGCTTCTCATCTATGTTGGTTAAAACGTAGAGGCTTAAAGTTCAGACCATATACTGTGTTGGACAAATTGGCCACATGTTGACTACATTTTTAGCATCTTCCAATTAACTTGTTTTGTCTCCTACCTGTCTTTCCTTGCCTCCTCTTCCCTTGTCCTCTCCTCAGTGGTTCCAGTCCCCCGAAGCAGCCGGTGGTGCGCTTCAAGAGGAACAAACACCACAAAGGCTCCATCTACTGCGTGGCCTGGAGCCACTGTGGGCAGCTGCTGGCCACCGGCTCCAATGACAAATATGTCAAAGTCCTCCCTTTCAATGCGGAGACGTGCAACGCCACAGGTACAGACAGTGGATACTTGGGGGCGGGGCCTATTGGCACCTCAGAACCAGTCTCATGTGTGTTTATGTCTCTCTGTGGCCAGGCCCAGACCTGGAGTTCAGCATGCATGACGGCACCATCCGCGACCTGGCCTTCATGGAGGGTCCGGAGAGTGGAGGAGCCATCTTGATCAGCGCCGGAGCTGGAGACTGTAACATCTACACCACCGACTGTCAGAGGGGCCAGGGTCTGCACGCGCTCAGCGGACACACAGGTACACCATCCATCTGAACTGAAAACATGAAGGGGTCAGGGAGAGAGTGTGTGTGACTGGTGTGTGACCGGTGTGTGACCGGTGTGTGACGTGTCGTTTTTGTGTTGCTGTTCAGGTCACATTCTGTCTCTGTACACGTGGGGGGGCTGGATGATTGCCTCGGGCTCTCAGGACAAGACGGTGCGTTTCTGGGACCTCAGGGTGCCCAGCTGTGTGCGAGTGGTGGGGACTGCTTGCCTCGGCTCAGGTAAGGCCTGCGTGTTTTTTGACAAATAACTCCATCAATACTTTTAAAAGTTTGAGCCATGTGCCAGAAGAAGAACCACTTCCACAATAGTTGCTGATGCTCTGCAAAGAAATAATGATTAGTTATTTAATGATGACAATGACTCTCTTAGTGGGGATGGGACAATGACAGATTTGATCGTGGATAGATGGATAAATATATTCAGAATCCGTTGGTTCTGGGGAATATCAGGCATCGTGATTAAAGCTGTCTAGCTCTCTATAGAGAAGTAAAAAGCCTGATTTAAAAAATACAGGAATAATTATAGAACAGACTCTCAAAATGTTCCTTTTCTATGTTTTTGAACAAAATGTAATGAAAAGTGATTCCAGTAGTGCTATTTTAAAAGATGCAAGGGTATTTTGATGATTATCTGGGTAATATCAAGAATCGCAATTATTTTGGCATTGTTTCCTGTATTGTATTGTCCAGTCTTTGTCAGACCTGACAGATTTGACTGGTTATCATGTCCAGGTTTTTACATCCACACCCTTTTTTTCCGCACAGGAAGTCCTGTTGCCTCGGTAGCAGTCGATCCTAGTGGCCGTCTCCTAGCAACAGGACAGGAAGACAGTGCATGCATGCTGTATGACATCAGAGGAGGACGGACCGTACAGGTGTATCGGCCGCACTCCAGCGACGTGAGATCCGTCCGGTTTTCCCCCGGAGCGCACTACCTGCTCACCGGCTCCTACGACATGAAGGTCATCGTCAGCAACCTCCAAGGTATGTCCCATCTACCCACAAAGTATTTATTTATTATTTATACATACTGCTTTAATTGTGTTCCCTAACTACTGCAAGAGGATGCTTAGTTTAGAGTCTGTGACCAAAATGACATACATACATGTAGGCTATCCTATTTTATACTCTGACCAAAGGGTCATGCCTGTGTTTGAAAGTCATGTATTTTTGGGCACCTTTAATTATTATATTATATATTGTTTCAAAAGTTTTCTGTTTATTGTGCGTTTGTATATCATTGAAAATTGAATATCTTTGGAATTTGAAAACATTTCAATATAAAGTACAGTATGTACAGTATGCGATGACATTTTTTTCACTATTAGAGATAAATATTGTAAAGTCATAGTATAGTACATCAGCTAAAAAAGTAATTGTGAAGTTTGTCATAAAAAAAGTGTTTAAAAAAAGTCATTGTATAATAAAAAGTTGAGTGATATTTAATAAAACTGTGTGTGTTTCTAGGCGACCTGACCAAGCCGCTGCCTCAGACGGTGGTGGGAGAGCACGGAGACAAAGTGATCCAGTGTCGATGGCACACCGAGGACCTGTCCTTCCTCTCATCCTCTGCTGACCGCACTGTTACACTCTGGACACACAACCCGTAACACACACACACACACACACACACACGCAAAATGACACAAAACCAGTTATAATCTAAAAGACACGCGTCCCCCCATAACACTGCTTCTCTTGCACTCCCAACAGTCACTCCCTTTCAACACACTCCCAGCTTGAACAACACACACGCACGCACACACGCACATGCACACGCACACACACACGCACACACACAGGTGAATGGGCCTTTCACTTCTGTCTGTAGGAAACCAAAATGGATTCAGGCCTGCGACACATAAAAGCACACATATTGCATGTGTTTTATTTTTTTTAAACATCACTCACATTTCATGCTTCACACCCACTGTATTTAACATCAGGGTCACAACAGCAGGATCATTCATTATTTTCAGCGTCATTTCACCTACATCTCACTCCCTACACACACCAGTTTGTTGCTGCATGTCCTTTTCACTGAGGAGTTGTTGAGGTTAGACAGAACAGAGTGCTTTGTTCATGATGGTGCCTTCCTTGAGTTCTCAGTTTCCATAACAAAATCGTTATACAAAAAACGAACAAAGATAATATGGTCATTTTTAAAGATCAACATTTGTTGAGTTATCTCGAGAAGTCCTACATTCCTTCTTCTTTTGCGTATCATTTTCTTACAGCTGCTGTATTGCTGCTATTGTTTGAGGAAGCGAGTTGAATTTATTGTGGAAAATGTATTTTTTTGTCAGAAGTGAGCTTTCCCTATGCGGAATCTGTGGAAGTGATTCTGTTCCCTGTGGGATGTGCTGATGTCTCATGTTACTGTATACTCTGCATCTCTGCATTGCTATAACTCAAATGTGTAAAATAGCTTGTGCATTTGTTTTACATTTAAATCAGTGTTCTTGCTCTGAAGCTGTTACAGTGTGTTGCGATGGCTTGCTTGCAGTGGAAGATCAATATTATGTCAGCGTCAAAGGGAAATACTAAGTGTGATTTGTGGTTGAGAGTCCTAGCATTCAGGTTGGGAATCTTCAGTAAGCTTTGGTTAGTCTCCTGTAACACTTTAACGACAGTAGGGGGCAGTCTTTGCACGTACTGAGGCTCTAACCATATGCACAATGAAATCTGAAAGGAAGCACGGGTGTTTTGATATTTATTTAGAACCAGTATTTGGGGCATATGCATTGTACTATTCTTTTGTTTTTTACATGCGCACTTTTGTCTTTTAACTTTGTCTTCTAGTACTGATTTACTTACAAAGATGCATATTTTATTTTGATGTATTGTATATATTGTTTTAACAAATAAGGCCAAACTAAAACGTACATAGATTTATTTATTTCAGTTGACTTTATGTATGTACAGTTATTGTTTTTGAAATGCTAGTGGCTGTTGTGTTTAGCCTTTCTAATTCTTGTTTTTAAAAAGTGACTTAAATTAATTCAAGCTAACTCAAGTCTGACTGCTGGTACGTTCAATAAAGTGTCTTTTACACAAGCTGGATCTTCTGTGTTTAGTGGAAATAAACAGTTCATTCAAAGAAAAGTCAAAACAAGATGCCTACATGGAAGAGGCTTTATTCCTCTGGCCAAGTACAAACAAACAAAGGGCTGTACAGGGGTTAAATTCATTATTTTATCATACAGTTCGCTTAAAAATACTATTTTATTATTCTGACCGTGGTAACTTTTAGGCCCCCCTTTTAAAAATACATGGAAAGAGTGCTGCTCCTCCCTGACTCAGACACCACTTTGAGAAAACCACATTTTTTCATAGTGGTAGGACGGCAGTTAACAAAAAAATCATAACAATCATAAAAGTACAATAAATACAGACACAACTGTAGAATTGTATTTAAAAATACACATAGGGTGAAATGAAATTTGTACAAAAGGATACAAAAACAACACTTTTGTCCCTGATGCTACGGAGAGTGCGAAACAAGTCCTTGTTAAATTGAGATTTCTTTACATACTTTGTACTAAATAGAATTCTGACAGTGCTTTGTTTTGTCCAAAAGGACTGAAGATACACAAGGCTTTCTTGTGAGGGACCACCTGCTGGTCTTTCATAATGCTGTCCACACCTTCATGAGATGAAAACAGACCCCCCCCCCCCCCACCCCACACCCCCCACCCCACACCCCCCACACCGTAGTGCTGAGTTTAGGAGTTGGTGCTCGGCCTGGCTGTAGTGTTCGCTGCAGACGGGAGGGCGACTCGCTGCTCGTCCATCCGTTTGGCCTGAGAGCGCATGATGAGGCTGAAGAAGTCCTCGTCAGGTACAGTCGGACCTCTGATTGGAGGAGGGGGAGCGGCACAGCGCTGGTCATCCAAACGGGACCCCTGGTAGCAAGGAAAAGAGCGTTTTGGAAGCACATTATAACTTATTTTGTATTCAATGTAAAGTAAAAACAAAACTGTAGCTCTATATTTGGTCAGATCAGGTACCTGGCACTTGACGAGCATATCGAAGAAGTCGTCGTCAGGCTCGGCGTTGTCGGCGTTGGCCATCAGGTGGCTGAGCACCGCCTGGTTGCTGTTGTGATGGAGCCTGAGCCCGGGCAGGCTCCCCCCCGCTGCTGACGGCCCCTCTAACCGCCGGCCCTGTGCGCCTGACACGTTGGCGGACTCTGATACAGCTGCAGAGTGAGAGAGACATTTTGAAATGACAATAGATAAAAAGGGAGACGCATTTTGGCAATCGGATGATTTTTAAGTCAAAAGTGAGGCAAGAATCTGCAGGTTTGATACGTGTTACAGAGGAGTTACTAATTAACATACTGCGATACTGTAAGTCAGTCGCTATATATTGCAATTCTTAAAACTTAACACACCAAAAATCTGAGCAAAATAGGTTGAATCCGAACAGTTGAATCCGAACAGTGGGATCTTCATTTGCATTTATCGCCATAACACTGATTACCCCATAAAAACATACTTTTATAAGGCTCATGTATTTACAAATTAAATAATAAGTAAACTACTAAAAAATGATAATACATAACCAACAGAAGATACTCTTGATATTTTCTTACACCATTACTATTGAGTGTGGATGCATGGACTCACATTTCCTGATGACTGTGGGAGGCGACTCTGGGCCGCTGCTTAGCGATAACCGGCTGCCCTTATCCTGGATTGAACAGCGTTGGTCATCCATGCGGTTGCTCTGGAAACGGCTCAGCAGGTCAAAGAAGCCCTCGTCTCCCAGCATGTCAGGACTGAGTCTCTGATGGAGCACAGAAACAGGAACATGAAACACAGCTGAAGGGAACCGGCCGCCTGATGACAGCTGTGGGATACTGACTGAGATCTAGGTATTTGTGTGGTTATCAGCTGAGTACACCCTGTGCTCTGTACCTTCTGTGGCCCCTGTGCGGGGGTCTGGCTGCTGTCCAGGGTGTTGCTGGTGTCCTGCAGGACCTTACTGGAGCCACCAGACTTGAACTTCTTCCCACGCAGACGGCTGACGAAGAACAGCTTGGAGGAGCCCTTCGTCATGGAGGGTTTGGACTGTTTGGTCAGGATGTCACTGTTCCACTTCTGTCCCTTCAACACACAGGAATGGATTATTACCACAATGCAGGGGGGGATTTTGGGTAAGACAATAGACTTAGATAATATCCAATAGATCCTTTATCAGCTCCAATAGGCTTGGAGATGATAAAGGATCCAATCACCTGGTCAAAACTTGAGATATATCTTGTTTTAGTGGCAAAGCATGAATAAGATATATCATCAAATGAGCACCCTGTGTGTGTGTGGAGTGTGTGTGTCATGTAACAGGAGAGGAGTTCTTACATTCATCTTGTCTGGAGTGAGTTTCATCAGCTCCAGGTTCTCCATGCTGTGTCTTCTGCCCATCCTGGGTCTCGCTCCTAAAACACATACAACAATTACAACACTATAAAACAGCAGTGAGTGACACAATCTCATTGTTAAAAGAAAACATATAACATATATCTCACCATGCAGGCTGTAGTCTATCTCCTTGTTCTCTGAGATCGTGGAGTTATTCGTGCTGTAACTCAGACCCAGAACCATCTGGAGATCAGACACGTTCATACGAGCCGTCAGCTCCCCTGTCCTGTCTCCAGTCTAAAAAGACAACAAACACACACATGGGGAATGTTACTGCTGAAGGATTCTTACCTGATTTGTTAAGAATCCAAAGTAAAACTCTAAGCTAAGATATAAGGATATTTTACGCTGCTTTCATTAACATTATATACCTCTTTGCAGATCTCCAGGTGTTTCTCAGCAAAGTGCATAGCTTGGTCATGGTTCCCCAGTGCAGTGTAAGCATTTCCCAGACTCCAGCAAGCACGGCCCTCCCCAATCCTACATCCAAAGAACACATTTAAATACACGTACGGGGTAAGTGAATGTGGCCATATAGTTTTGAGGGGAATTATTGCGTTAGTAAATGTGTGTGTGCGTACCTGTCATTGAGGTCCTGGGCTATGATGAGGTGTTTGAGGTGGTAGTCTATGGCTCTCTCATAATCCTGGAGAAGTGTGTAGGTGTTGCCCAGACTGTAGCAGGCCTGCGCCTCCACTGCTCGATCCTTCAGCTGCCTCGCCAGCTGCAGTGTCCTCCTGACAAACACACACACACACACACACACACACGAGCTGGTTCAAAATGCTGCTGACAGGCCCCTTCCACACGGAGACGAAAACGAAAACGAACCGAGGTCAATATCAAAAAAGTCTTCCGTCCACACGGAATCGGCACAAGAAACGTGTCCGTCCACACGAGACCGCTCGACCCTCTGGAGACGCTGTAGTACATATGCCAGGCCTGTAATGGCGCATTTCCACTACACGGCCTCGCTCTGCCTCGCTCTGCCTCGCTCGGTATGGCTAGGCCTCGTTAGGACTGGCTCAATTTATGGCGCATTTCCATTACAGTTTAGGAACTGGGGTAGTATCTATAGTAACGCAGTGTAGGCGGAGCCGTGACGTCATCTTCAATGAGAACCCCAGAAAAACAACACAGCCGTTAGCTGTTAGCACTCAGAGCTCACAGCTCCTCATATCTGTTCAGAAACTAGACAAAAGTTAAACAAGTACAAACCACAGACTGCCTGTGTCATGGCGAATACAGTCGCTGGTTTATTTATGTCTGTATAGGCCGTTGTTGTGAGTGTGGACGGTCGGAGCATATACTGCGTTAGCTTAGCCGATCTCCATTTAGAAAACACGCATTTTAAAAGGTTTTTCGCCTGCCGTCTGTCTGCAGACTTGACAAAGCATTAATTCATGGTTTTTACTAACCGGTATCAGTATGTTGTTACTTCGGCATCATTTTGAAACGTGTATTACAATTAAATCACGGTCAAATATGTCCATCTTGTTGTAGTTGTAGCCCCCTTGCCAGCTATTCGCTCTCTAGTTTAGCATACTCAGCCCGACTCAGCCTCGTTGTCTCTGGCCCTGGACCCACGATTTTATGAGGCCAGAAAAACTGTGAATTAGGACCCGCCGGCCGGTACTAGGCCAAGTGGAAACGCAACCAAAAACGGGCCGCTGACGTCACAGCCCTCTTAAACCGTGCTCCGCGCTGTAGTGGAAAACGCGCCATAAGTGGCGTTGTACTTCCGCCACAAAATACACCAAAAGCAGCGATTAAGACGCCCCGAGCATGGTTGCCATGGTTGCCTGGTTGCCCTTCTGGTTATTCTCCGCGGTGGATTTAGCGGAGAACTACATTTTAGCAACATGTAGTTCATGTAGTTCTCCATGTCCACTTGTTGCTGATGGTTGTGGTAGAGGAGCTGTAGATTTTTGCACTAACATCTGTAGCATGGTCGAGCTGTAGATTTTTGCACTAACATCTGTAGCATGGTCAGTAGCGTCTGGAGCACGAAAGCAACCCTGTGATCCGCCATTGTTGTTGTTGTTGGCGAAACGCATCAGCAATGACGCGGGTGACGCGGGGGTGAGCAGGAGAGGTGGGGAGAGGCGGGGCTATGATCGTTTAGGGCAGGGGTGTCAAACTCAATTTCATCACGGGCCACATCAGCATTATGGTTGCACTCAAAGGGCCGGTTGTAACTTTAAGACTATATCATTAATTAATATAACTTCATAATTAACTACGTCTGAAAGCAGAAGTCTAGAGCAAATAATTGCAAGTCTCTTCAGTAAGAATGTCACAATATGATTTTAAAAGAAAAGCCACATTCTGGAAAAACATTGATTGTGACATTTTGAAAAAGGGAAGTGACATTTTGAAAAAGAAATCTATTTATGAGAAAAAGGCTAATTCTAAGAAAAAAGTCAAATTTGAGATGCATTGTGGGACATGTCGTTTATGGGCAACGTGCTTCTGTAAAGTAGCATGTAACCGTATAATAAACATATTATATTCTTTGCAAGCTCTTGTGGGGCCACATAAAATGAAGTCGCGGGCCGGATTTGGCCCCCGGGCCTTGAGTTTGACACCCCTGGTTTAGGGCGTACACACGGTGCCGCAAGCGTTACGTTACCAGACCTTCCTTTTTACTATAAGATAGTGAGATTTCTTTACAGTTAAAAAAAATGGTATAAAAAAGCCATCTTTATGCTTTATGGTGTAACACACTTCGCAAAGTGGTCTTTCAACAGAGACTTGTCACCCCACACCCCACATCTGTATCTTGTTTGTAGGATGTAGAAAGAGAGGGAAATGTTAAGTGGAGTGTTTGTTCAGTGAACCTGCCTCTACCCTTCTGGTTCAACCAAGACTACTGTAGTTTCAACCAAGAAATCTATTCAGCCAACATATGTAAAGGATCTTGTCTGTCGAGTAAAGTATAACAGTTCTTGGAAACTGCCTGCAAAAACATGTATGCATGCATGGCTTGTTATTAGGGTTGCAAAATTCCGGGAATTTTCAAAGATGGAAACTTTCCATGGGAATTAACGGGAATAAACGGGAATAAACTGGGAATTTTCTAAATTGAAGTTTGGCTCTTCATAGGGAACTTAAATATAGTTGGGGAAAGTATATTTTAGCATAATCTTGACTAAAACAAACAGATGCCATTCAAGTACACTTGAATATCCATGCCATAGCACACTGCTTACTGCATAGCTATTGAGACCACACCCCCTACAGGCACTGTGCATTCCTCCATCACATGCACAGATGATTTCGAGAAGCCTGGATCACACTATGGGACTTTTTGGAGGGAGAAGGGCTCTTTTCATTTAACATTTTGAATGGGACTTTGTGGGGATTTTTGGATGGGGGGTGCATTTTTGTTCATTTTTTAATGAGTGGGGTTGGGGGGGAATATTTAACTCAACATTCCTGTTTTCGTTCTTCAATGAAACAAATAATTGTTCAATAAAAGACTTACAACTTGTTCTGTTCTACTTAAAAAAATAAAAATAAATCTGTTGAAATGTCTTGTTTTTTTGTTTAATTTTGCATCGAATATTTCCAAAATTCCCCAGCTTAACTTCCCATGGAAACTTTCCGGAAATGTTCCGCCCCTTTGCAACCCTACTTGTTATACAGAACATTTAAAAAAGATAATATGAATATGTAGGCTGTGGCTTACTTGTAATGTTCAGCTGCCACTTCAAATTCTCCCAAAAAGATGTAGGCGTTCCCCAGGTTGCAGTACGCCCGTCTCTCTGCAGAGCGGTCGCCAAACTCCTTAGCTATGCGCAACCGCTGTTAAGAGAAAGAGAACAGAAGAGCCACAGAAATATAATTATTATATCTATTAGAATAACTTTCATTGCAGGAGTAGGTTTGCTTTTCAATATAGTGTAAAGACTGTGCCAATATGCTTTGATAGCAAAGTGGTTTTAGTGTTATACCCCACCTGTTCGTGAGAAGCAACCGCTTGGCGAAAGCTTCCCAACAAGTAGTACGTGTTGCCGAGGTTACCATAGGTTCGACCCTGAGCAGCGCGATCCCCAAGCTCCTTCACTATAGCCAAGTTTGCCCTGAAAATACACAAACAGTCGGATGAAATATGAATGGGTAAAAGCAGAAAGACATTGTAGAATTGCCCATATCACCACACTGTACAATCACTTACTCGTAATACTCGGCAGCCTTCCCCAGGGCCTCCATCACCTCCTCTGGGAAGTCTCCCGGCTCCGCTCCACTCCAACAGATACTTTTGCCTTTGGCGTGGTAAACATTCCCAAAGTTATACAGAGCTCGCGCCTGACCCACCTAAAACAAATCAAGGGAAAACATGTCAGCGTGGAAGGTAAGTGTGGTCTGAACGCCCGATGCACTACAGAATATTTCACTGCATATAGATCATCTCTTATTGGCTTAAAGGTCCCCTATTATACTGTTTTACAACAACATATTATAGGTCTCAGATATATACAAAACATGTCTCTGAAGTGTTTGGCTCGAAATAGCAAAAGAAATTCAGACAGGTTTTTATAAATTAATCAGGACAAAAAGAGAGAGATTCTTTTATTGAAACTTTCCGAATCTCTTAACACAAAGGGGTATTTATGTTTAAAAGACATGAAAAAGTGCATTTTGCATAATAGGTGACCTTTAAACATCCTGCTGACCCACCTTATCATTGATGTCTCTGGCTATGTCCAAGTGCCTCTGACAGCAAACCACAGCCTCGTCAAACCGCCCCAACACTTTCAATGTGTTACCAAGGTTTCCGCTGGCTTTGGCTTCTCCAAGCAGGTCACCAATGGTCCTATTCAACACAAATCATGTTAGTGATAGAACATATCGTGATGAGCTGCTGTGGGGTTCTTGTGAGGGTCTAACCTGGTCAGGGTGAGGTCATGCCGGTGGAACTCCAGGGCCTTGGCGTGGTCATGCAGGTGGAAGTAGGCATTGCCCAGCTGGCTGTAGATGGCACTGAGTACCTGCAGGTCCTCTGTGCCCACCTGGATGGCCGCTTCGAAGAAGGAGACCCCTGCCCTGTAGTCGCCCACCTTACAGAGCCGCTCACCCTCCAACGCCAGCTCCAGACAGGACACCTCCATCCTACAGCAGAGAGGAGCAGAGTCAGTCTGGCTACTATCTGAGCAGCACTGAAGAATCCAAAGACAATGATAAAGGCCCAATAATGAAGAGCTTGTTGGAAAGTAGATCTTCTCTGGCTGAACTCTACAGCCAACTGAATGAACTCCACTTGCCAGCAGGGAACAGAGCGAAAAAAAACAAGCTTTTATCTACTTCCTTCCAACTACCTAGAACAATGGCTCGGCCTGGAGTCTGTTTGTTACTGTTTGGTAGATCTCACATTCTTTGGACAGGCCTCAGAAAGTGAAGTCTGTCCAACTACCTGCGTGCGTCTCTGCACTCTCCTGAATCTTCAAAAAGCCGTTTACAGCTTTACAGCTGTGACTACTAACAGTTGTCATGTTCATTATTTGCGCTTATTATATGTTTATTCCCATAAAGATAATTATGGGTTGTGGCTGTAGAGGGGATGGATTGTCAGTGTTGCCAACTTGGGAACTTTCTCTCTCGTTTAGTGACTTTTGGAGTTAGTGCTACTAACTACTACTACTACAACTACAACTACTTTTCCAGGTTGTAGTTACAAAATCAATATAAAGAAAGAAGGGTTAGACAGAGGAGACCACTTAAACAGCTAGGCTTATTGAGTAACAAATGAGGTTAGGCACAGATGAAAGAGACTCATGACAATTGTTTGGGACTTATCTATTTTTAGATCAGGCGGCATATGAGAACAAAGCAAAACATTTTAGTCTGCCGACTTTAGTTTTTCAGGAAACTGTATTGTTGGGAAGTGATAGGCTCCAAACAAAGTCAAGTTCTCATTTTATTGAGATTGTTTATCTCACGTTTCCTTGAGTACCCACCCAAGGTTTTGTCTGAAAACTTCCCAAAAGCGACCCAGAAAAACCAACCTAAAGACACAATCTAACAGTGGATTTGTCATGTGAAGCAATATCTATGGTGTGCTATTAAAATAACAAAGTAGCTTGTTTCATCATTCAGGCTATAATTGGTGAACAAAACCAAACATGGCGTTATGAATAAGTCAAGTTAACAACATAAGTTTCAAACACTAAAACACTAGCCTACCTGCTGGCTTTTCGGGTCCTACGACAACAACAACAGCGCATGCAGCTTTTGATAGGCATCTACTGAAGTCTCCAAAAGAAAAACTTTAAGATTGCAGCTCCTTCTTTTTGTGTGAAGCATGGAGAGAGCAAAACAACTTGTTCTCTGTACTCAAAGAGGTCGTCAAGATTCAGCTTGATGCTCATTTAAGTCTTTAAAAAAGTCATCTGACATCATAGAGCTATTTTAGCATCACTCACGCATTGGAAAACTTTCAAGGAAACGCGTGTGATGCCGTCAGAGTATTTCCCTTCAATGCATGGCAGCATGGAAACTGCTCCATCAGCATTTTCTCAGCTAATCTGCTTGTCTGTAAAGCGCTCTCTGCTGAGCGGGTCACCTGAGATAACGGCTGTAGTGCGTACCCGGCAGATTATGTCGCTGGTGAGTGTTAAGTAGATTTATTAGATGTGTCAGGTGCAGGCAGACTCTGTAGGGAAGTTTAATGGAATCAAGTAATTATCCATAACAATCCAGAGAGTAGTTTCCATTGGGAAAACATATCCTCCCACCAAGCAGACGCCTACTCTATCCAAATAAATTTGACACGTGTGTGGTGAAAAACAAAGCTATTGCAATGATGAATTTTTCAAGGCTTATTAAATATTGAAGCATGCGAGAGCAGGACACACCTGCTGCAGAGCTCTTTACCTGTGTATATAGGGACAGCTGGCTTACGCCTGTTTGGGGAAACTGGCCTGCCCTTAGTCAACAATCCCACAGAAAGCTCTGTGACATTACCTTCCAACTCTATCATTTGGACTGCAATTCTTTTTTTCATAATACACACCCATCTCTTCCTAAACAAGGTCAAACATAAATAACTACCGTATCTGTAACCTGACACATTTTATGTAACAAGGGTTAAAATAATGACAATTATAAAGATATTTTTCTTCTCTAATTACATCTAATCATTTAACTCACAGTCCCTTCTAAAACGAACAAGGGAAAGCAAAATGTAAAGAAAAAAGAGACAGGAAATCTACTCTACAACCATACTTTAGTTGAGAGGCGAGAGACTCCTACCTGTAGCGGACATGAAAGGACTGCTCCTCAGATCCCATGCTAACCACTGAGCCACTGGTATCCATCGATGTGCATAATATGAGTTTTTGTCACGGGAAAAAAATGGTTTTGTTTAAAACCAAGAGCCACCAAAATAAAATAAAAAGTCTTTGGTTGAATAGGATTAGGCAAACCAGACAAAAAGGTCACGGAATACAGGTCTGAGCGTCCCTCTGCTGAGTGTGGACAGGGGGAGGAGACCCCTCTGAGTGTCAGACAGAGCTGCAGAGTCCTGAGCGCCAGTCCATTCGGCTGCGTTCGTCTACTGTGTGTTTTTGCGTCACTGCACCTCAGCGGCCCTCTGTGAAGAGAACACAAGATGCTGTATGTGAAGCCTCTTTCTGGCCATACGGTGCCATGGCAACGCCAACCAAACAGCAGCGTGCACAAGCAGGGCAGGCAGAAAGTGAGGGAGCACGGCGGGAATGAAAGGATGGGGGTCAACACCCGGCAAGCTGTGACTCAATTCATCCAGGCTTGGAGATGTGTGTGTTCTAAAGTTGCTGAGAAAGCAATGAACTCTATGCAGGCAGAGATGGCAGAAACATATGATCTGAGTGTGTAAATGCAATCAAGAGGGAGAAAAGAAATGCAACCTGCTTGATTCATCAAGAAAATGGTGATTCAATTAAAATTGAAGCTCGGAAAAATGGGAAAACAGAAGATCCTACTGTGCGTATGCAACTTCCACCAAAGGAAAAGACAGTAAGCAACCTACATGGATAAGATAGACCCAAGCAAAGACCAGAGCTAATCATTACCTAATTTCTCCATGAGGTCATATTAGCCACACCCATTTGTCCCCCACATTTAACCCATCATCCCCCCACACACAAAAGGGAAAATGGGGCAGAAAGAAATGACAAAAATAGCAGTGTGTTTATTTGAAAACCTTCCAGAGACTGTTAAAACACATGGCATTGCATTTTATAGTTTAGGCTCTGTATATGAAGGTTCAAGGTTCTTTATTTAGTCATACGATAGGTGACCACCACTGTGCTCTTTTTCTAGCAACTCAACGTGTCCCGCACCACATAGGTAACTTAATGCATTACTAAATTGCCTTATTGTAATATTACTTCAAAGTAAAAAATGTAATGTACTGTGACTAATCCAGGCCTAGTCCTACTGACTGTACATAAAAGGAGGCCAGTGTTAATAAAGTACTTTTGATTAGGACCTTTGATCTGAAACATGCTTAGTTAGCAGTTTTCTGTATAAAATCAGCACTGAGCTCATACTGCAAGAAGAGAAACATCTTAAAAACAGATGACAAACAAAACAGAAACAAGAACTGTTTTGACAAATTGCAGAACTTAATCATGCCTTGTTGATGTCAGAATCTCTTTTTGTTCTGGTAAATTCCTCTTCATGAAAAGGCTCCACAGTGTGAGTGGCGGTGGTAATTCAACACTAAAGCTAGAACTGAGGGCTCTTTTTACAAGGGTTAGCTTGAAGATACATAGATAAGCCTTGTTTGTGAAGAACAAACAACTGTGAATATAAGAGTAGTGTTTTGGCTGCTGAATGCTGATATTGCAAGAGGAGGCTTGTATCTTACCAATGCATTAACTTAACAAAACAGCCTCTGGCAATTCATAGTACATATATATGGAATTGTCTGACATTAAAAAGCTACACAAAATGATCATCTCTTGCCCAGCCTGTTCTTCCTGCTGGTGTGTGAATGTGAAGTTATAATACAGACTATGCTTTGTTAGTGTGTGCACTACATGTTCCTAGACATTATTATAATCACCTATTGATGTGTGCCAGTGTTCGTGCAGCCTTTTCCGCTATTGTATGCCAACTGAGTGTGTTTTAAAGAGACCTGCCAAACTACAGTTAAAGTAAGCATGAACAAGTGTGTAACAGGAAGAAAAAGGTCCATGACTAAAAGGAACATCAAAGGACACAAGAGGTTGTTTTGTAATGACAGCTTCACGCAGGTAATCACTGACTCTTGAGTCCCAAATAGGACATGATTTCATCTTAAATACACACAGCAGATGGGACCTATTTGTATTGTGCTTACAGGCCATTGATGCACCAAAATGACTACTGACACATACAGCCCAATCTAAATATGGAAACACCTTTCAGCATTACACCATGAGCCAGCACCAAAACAATGAAACAGCAACATAAGTACTGGGATACTGACCTGGGAGTCTTCCACACAGGAACAGGAAATCTGGGAAGCCTGTAAGGAAAAGTGTTGTGACCATGAATAACTGTACACCTAAATATAGTGGTGTTGCAGAACAAAGTATATTGAGAGTATTTTGCCTACATGATTATGGACACTATGATACATTGAAATCACACTAAATAAGTGGAGATTTACACCCTCAGTTTCTAGTTTATGGGATACATGAACATGGTATACATAATAACTCAATGAGGGAAGGCTAAATATTAGAAACCCAACTCACAATAAGGCAAAAATATTTCAACAGACTCTCAAACTACAGCCTCCAAAATAACCATCCATTTTTAAATCAACACCTTTGTTTTTCAACCAAAAAATAATAATATATTCCTCGCAGGGTTGTTGCATTCGTTTTAGTTAAGTTTACATTATAAACTGGCAACTGATTGTACATATGCCATACTGGGTGAAGTGTGTATTTTTGTAAAAAGTGTGCATTACTAAACTGGCATAACATGTAATAGGTTAATGTGACATGACATATGAATGAACGTGGACAAAACTATGCAACACAAATGCAGTTAAACAGTTAGTATGTATACTATTTAGCTATATGCATTTAGTCAGGTTTAAAATAAAACATATGTTTATGATTCTTATAGATATAATCTGGCAGCAAAGAAACAGTAACATTATTGCTTATCCGAATTCCGTTATGATTATTTTTACAGGACAAATAACTGTCAGTATGAGCTTCTACAGACATATTTGTTTAGCGTTACTCGTCAATAAGAGGGTTTGAAGGGAGGATTGTGATAAAACACGATCTTGATGCACTATATTTTGTCTTAAATTTAACACCGACTCAAAGACTCAACATTGGGCAGTGAATTCACCCCTCTTTAGTTACACTATCACATCCAGCTAGAGATTAGCAAACTAGCATGTTAGCTGCTCAACTTACGTTAGACGATCCAGTTCGAACAATGGTGAATTATCCTGTTCTTTTCTTTACTTTCTCACAAGAATAAAAACATAAGGTCGATTTTCTTAAACGCAGACGTCTGTTATTTAGTGTCAAACTGTACTATAGTTAGCCTTACACTACATTGTCCTTTAACTTTTGTAAAACTTCTATTTAACTTCGGGCGAGAAAGAAGAAAAACCTTGCGGCTGTACTGTTTTCGGCGAGTAGCCACTCAGTGGGCGACATTCAAAGATAGCCACGCCCTGAACAACAGTCATTGGACCAATAGATTTGAATAGAAAAGAGGTGACGTATTTTCATTATTTGGCTGTCAGTACCAGACAAGCAAACTTTATCATGTATGACTTTTAGACACTTTTGCTCAGTGTAAGCACAAAGGGACACCTGGCCGCTGTCAGGGTGTAGTCAGACACACTAAAAGACTCTCAATAAGTGTCTAAATACATTGTTGTATTGACTTGCTAACGCTAACTAACATCAGTAGTAGTCTTTTTGGTGGTTTCACTATCGTCTCCTAGCAACCACACTGTACGCCTGTACGCTGCCAGCCGGGCTCCAGACGCTCAGCGCTGCCGTGCAGACTTCATTATTAATGATGCCACAGACACTAAACCTTTCGAGAAAAAAATGTCAAGAAAGAAAGACTCAGAAACACTGCAGCTAGTTGTAGGATGATGTCAGGGGAAGGAGCAGCGGCTGTGGATCAGATCAACTAATGGGGCACTGCTGAGAACCAGTTTAAAGGCGGAGTAAGTTACCACATCAACGTAATGTTAGACTGTAAAGTTAGCAAATAGAACGGGAACTGAAATGTGTACTTGCTTTTTGACTGTTCAGTGTTAGTGTGTAGCCTATTTGTTGTAATGCCGCACTCAACATGGTGGAACAATTACTGAGTAAATGAACTCAAGTAAGCTACTGCAGCGTTAGTAGTCTATTTTAAAGTAGCCTGCAATGTAATTTAATTGAGCTTTTTTATTTTTTGCTCATTTAAACTTATATCCTACTTCAAGGGTGGAGGTAATCTTCACTCCACTACTGTAGTTACTTTGCAAATTCAAATTAATTACAAAAACTGTAATAAACAAATCCAAGTATTATTCTTAATAGTTAGAATAAAAAGAGGGTGCACTAACTTACTTGTAAGATTTTGAATCTATGAGTTTTATCTGTGGTATTGCTTGTGGTATTGTAACAGATTTGCACTTCTTTCATCACTCATAACAACTAATTATATTCACCACTCAAGAAGCTACAGTACTTACAGTACAGTTTGGATTACTCATACTGCACTTGAATAGGTCTTCTGCTACTTAATGTACAGTATACTATTACAAAATAAATAAATAAAAATATTGAATGATGTGCATTTTACTTTATTACATTTATCTGACATAGTTACTATACTGTACATACAAATATTACAATAAATATTGATATGTATTATTATTTTAGAATATGGATAAAAAATAAATACCGGTGACTGCAGCAAAATGCACAAGAGGTACTTTTACTTTTGGTAAATGCTGATAACACTTTTAACTATTATTTAAAATCTAGGACTTTTTCTAGTAATGGAGTATTTTTGTATTTTGGAATTTATTTTAAGTAGTTGACTAACATTTCTTATACTGCTGTTTCACACACACTTTCAACCATAAACATCATTCACACATCATTCGGTTTTTGGTGACTGTACAAGTCACGCAAACATTTGACCACACAATGCAAAGTGTGTTAAATAATTGACAGATTAGCACATTTTGATCCAATGTTGTCACTTAACAAGTTGCGTTGCTAAGTGATGAAAACAGGTGCTCCATCCTCCTTCCTTACCCCCTGCCTTGACACAGGTGAAAACAGTGTCCATGGAGGGAGAGGAATCAGATGAGGATGTTCAGGGAGAGGACCTGCCCACTGTTCTCTGGGAGAGGTGCATTCAGCAGAGCATCTTTGTTGATCTCAGTGAGGATGAAAGTCTCCACCTCAGTGATTTTGAGAGTTCTTTAGCCTTACATCTGTCCGAGGCAGAGTCTGCAGCCTCAGAGTCCAGCATCCATCTCAGCGGTGAGTCCTGGAGTCACCTCTATTTATTTTTTTGTTTTTTGGCTGGATGTTAAACTGTCTGTTTTCATCTATCCTGAACTATACATCAATATACTTTCTGAAAAACTCTATAAACTTTTAGCAAAGTTTGCATTAATACAATAGTCGTTCTCTCAGATTCAGAACAGGTTCCTAATATATATATTGTAATGACAAATTATTCACATTTAGAGCTTTCATTAAAACGTGAAATGTTATATGTCCACAAAGTGAATGCAATGGCTTAAAGCAGGGGTGTCAAACTCAAGGCCCGGGGGCCAAATCCGGCCCGTGACTTCATTTTCTGTGGCCCCACAAGAGCTTGCAAAGAATATTATATGTTTATTATACGGTTACATGATGATTTACAGAAGCACGTTGCCCATAAACTACATGTCCCACAATGCATCTCAAATTAGTCTTTTTTTCTCAGAATTTGCCTTTTTTTCTTCGAAATATGCCTTTTTCTTAGAATGTGCCCTTTTCTCAGAATTTGACTCTTTTTTTTTAAATGTTACTTTTTTTGTAAATGTCACTTCCTTTTAAAAAAAATGTCAGTTCTGTTTTTTGATTGTGACTTGTTTTCCAGAATTTGGCTTTTCTTTTTAAATTTTTTTGTGACATGCACACTGAAGCGACTTGCAATTATTTGCCCCAGACTTCTGCTTTCAGACGTAGTTAATTATAAAGTTATTACCCTATCCAATAATAATCCAATGCAGAGGCAATAATGTAATTTAATACATTATTTTATATATATATTTATATATGTATTTTTATAGTCTTAAAGTTACAACCGGCCCTTTGAGTGCAGCCATAATGCTGATGTGGCCCGCGATTAAATTGAGTTTGAAACCCCTGGCTTAAAGGAATCCATGCAACCTTCTATTTTGGTATTTATGTATTTTTTGTTTTTTAACTTACAGGGAGCACAGAGCTGTCACCCTTGGACGTAACCTCCTCAGAGTCCAGTACTGTCAGCAGTCAGAGTAAGAGGGTTGTAGAGAGCAAGACCAAGAGCAGCATATTGCATGTGTCTGCCCAAAGACCGAACACCGTGCAAGATGAGCAGCCATTAAAGCATGAAGAACCAGGACAAGATACCAGTGACGAGGATCAGGATGACTTACCTTATGATGGTGACCTCGGAAGCCTCTATTTCAACCAAACGGCTACCTCTGAGGTTGATATGAGCTCTGACGGAAGAGATACATTTCATTCAAGTCCTGATGTTCCTGGTGTGCTTGAATGTAATACAAGAGATAGAGATGAAATCATTGAAGGCTTGGTTTCTCTTGGGCATAACTCTGAGAAACAAGAAACTTTGTCGCAAGTGGATGCCAATACTGAACGGGAAAACCGTTTGGATGCTTCCAAGTCATTTAAGGTTGCCCCCCCATGTCCTTGTCCTTCAGATATGAGCCAGCTGTTGCTGCAACATTTCTCCCAGGAGGAGTTATTGCGGTCGGGTAGGCTGATCGAGGCGGAGACCCTGCCAGAGGTGTCTCTGCTGGAGAGCGTGGAAGACACTTTGTTTAGCTGGCGTCCAACACATAACAGCACAGTCATTAAGAGTAACCACTCAGAGAGCCCTGCTTGTAGTTCCAAGACCAATCAGAGCTTCTGTTCGGACATGAGGAATGAGAAGACTGCATCAAAAAATTCAAGTTTAGAGGAAAAAGCAGAAAGTGAAATTGATAATGTCCCCTCTGCTGCTTCTGACAGTATAATATCTTGCTCTCCAAGTATAAACTCAGAACAGGGCAGTGGGGATAAAAGTGATGTAGATCTAGAGAATCAGGAAAAGGATGAAGAGGATGATCTGGTTCAGAGAGGCCCACTTGTGCGCACCAGGTCCTTCAGCGACATCAAGTATGGCCAAGGCAAGGTCCATTACCCACTCCCTGACTTCTCCAAGGTAGCCTCAAAGGTAAAAATCCCCAAAGCTCCGAGTGGACCTGTCAAACCTGTTCCTCAGAGTCCCAGCACCATGCACAGAGCCCAATCCTCTCCAGGGATGTTAGATTTGATCAACAGAGTCATGGAAGATTCAATCCAGCCATCTGAGAAGCCCTATGTCTTCAAAGACGAGGACAAACAGACTGCTCCAGCACTGGTGCATCACCTGCAGGTAGAAACATTCAGGATGTAGTCTGCCTTTGGTGAAGTTTGCTTGTATTCTCTCAAAAATGTGCATACAAATAATTCTGTTCATATTCCTTGGGATTAACATTTGAATATTTCCATATGTCTTTAGGCTGAATATGACAAACTTACCAAGTATGCTGAAGCAGAGAACCTTATAGATCAAATGAGAATAGGAACCAATGTAAGTAAAAAGTTGGTGCATTTTTGACTGACCCATATCATGTATGTGCAAGAAATCATTTACAGTTTCAGTAACTTTACGTTTATGGATCTCTTTAACAGGTGCAGCCCTCCTCAGAGTTGATGCTTTATTTAGAGTGTGAAGATGATCATCAAGGAAACTTAGTTGAGGGAAGCCATGTTGGATCTTCGCCTCCTCGCCTTCCCACGTCAGGTACGTCTCAGTGTCGACATCTGATATTATGACAGGACAGCATTATGCAGTGAAGCGTGCAGCTGGTTTCCATAGTGATAAATGAGGTCAGATGACACTTTTCTAGTTGCACAGACCTCTTTACTTTGCTGATGGAGCACTTATCACAATAAAGTGGAAAACAATGGCTAACTAAACATCTTAACACCCAACTGAAATATATCTATGTCACATTTTTAAATCACAACTCGTAGCTGTGTGATTCATGTTTAATTTGTATTTATTTTTTATAGTTCCCAAGACCAAAATTAACAAATTCGAGTACACTGATTAAATATTAGCTTATGTTCTCCATCATTTCATAACCAACTGTAAACCCCTCACACACCATTGCACGCTGTACTCTTTAGTCAACTGGACATCATTATCAATGCGCAGATCACTGCACTGGTACAAATTCATCTATACCGCTATGCTTGGACTGCTGCCCCTCTACATATCCACTTACATATCACACAAACAGTACAGCTATAGCCTACGATCTCAACATTACATCACTCTGTCCGTCCCCTCAGTTCGCACGGTGCTTGGAAAAAAAGCCATATCATACTCTGCCCCCTCGACCTGGAACACACTTCAGCAGGAACTTAAGCTGACCAGTTTGATACCCATCACGGATTTTAAACTCATTTTAAAAAAGCTGGAGAAATCATCTGTGGGTGTTTGCACCTGCTATATCTGAATACCAGCGACGTGCAGTCAGTGGAGGCAGGGGAGGCAGAGCCTCACCTGTCATACTCCAATGTAACGGAAAAACAACTAAAGAAAAACGAAATAGTAATAATAATAAAATGTCTCCACTGATCTGTGTTGTAAGTGTGATTTATGTATGATTCTAATCGCTTTTTATAGTCAAAATCAGCAAATTTGCCGAACTCCGCTACGGGAGCGATGACAAGTGAGGCAGGCACGTGCTCTGCCTCTCATAAACCCACAGTAACTTGCTGGAGCACGGGCACTAATTTAGCGCGGGCACTTATTTTGTGAGCGCGCTCAAGCCAGTTACTGTGGGGTGAGGTGAGGCACAGATGAGATCTGCCTCACCTCAGAATGCGTCACCCCACAGAAACTGGCTGGAAAGCGGGCCCTAAGCGCATGCCTGTTACCATCTCACTGTAGGTCACCAATGTAATGTATGTAGATCCCTTTATTACATTTATCCTCGCCATCCATAGTCTCTAAATAACTTATTTCACAGACTTCCGGTTTCGCTATGAGTGGTCGCATTTTCGAGAGCTCCCGCTTTGGAGGTTATTCCTCACGATTTTTTACATATTTCATCCTCCTGACAATATGGATTATGGACTCCTACCTCAACTCATCAATGAGGCAACATCACTTAGAGAAGGAGAGTAGTGAAAGCAGGGATAAAATGAACCACAATGACTTTTACCTTCTCAACGGCTGGGAAAGGAAACACCTCGCTTTTGGAAGTGCAAGCATTCATGCATTATTAACTGCAAACCCGACGCGAAAGTACTTACCCCCGTCAGGCAAACTAGACCGAAGAAGTATGATCGTCTTGGTCTTATTGTTAGCGGGAGACATCCATCTGAATCCGGGCCCGGTGCAGACAAGAAGCCATTCCTGCAGGCTCGAGGAGCTAGCATCACAACTAGCATCACAACTAGCATCTCTTCCGCTACAGCAACAACTACGCGACGACAACAGAGACCATGGAGACAGCGGAGACCGAGGAATCAACGGAGACTTCGACATTCCCCCGGGGACGCCTCGGCAGACAGAAACGCATGAGGCAGTGACGAGAGGAAGAGAACCGAGATCCGAGGGAACAAATATCCACCATGTTGTTAGCCACCCTGCTAGCATATCGACGGCTAAAGCTACAACGGAGCCTCCCTCCCCCCACCACCCCACCGCTCCAAGCACCACGGCAGGCCGCAAGCCGTTTGCTGTAACGGACAAAGACAAATATCTTCAAGCTGACGACATTATGCATTTAAACAACAAAAATGGACTACATATTTTTCATCTGAACACTAACAGCCTGAGACACAAACTGGCTGAACTCAGGCAACTGTTCATGAACGGTAAGGCAAGCATATTATGCTTTTCTGAGACCAAATTGGACAATTCCATTACAGATTCAGAGATTGAAATTGAAGATTATCTTGTAGTGAGAAGGGACAGGAACGTGAATGGAGGTGGTGTCTGCATGTACATACATAAAGACACCAATTTCAAAAACCGTACTGACCTGCATCATGAAAATATTGAATCTGTGTGGGTTGAAATTCTTTTTGACAATGCTAAATCTGTAATAGTCGGGACAATCTATAGACCACCGGAACAGAGTGACTTTTATGATACATTAGATGGGTGTTTGGCTGATGTGGGGGATGTAGAGACAATTATTATTGGAGACTGGAACACGGATATGCAACGTAAAGACACGTCCGTCTTCAAGTCCTTCAGTAGGATTTGTGATCTGCACGGCTTCAGCCAGCTAATCACCCAACCCACCCGGGTATGTGAAACAACACAAACTACCATTGATCTCATTCTGACCTCTGACAGGTCCAGGATCTCCAGTAAAGGGGTTATAGCATGCGGTTTAAGTGATCATTATATGATATTCTGTACCCGCAAAAAGCTAAAACAAAAGGCCGGCTGTCACAAAACAGTCATATCTAGAGACCTCAAAAACTACTCTAGCGAGGCCTTTAACCTAGAACTGGAGAGCCTGGACTGGTCAGATGAGCTCAGTGGTACACAAGTTGAAGAAACATGGCTTGGTTTCAAAAACAAATTCTCTGCAATACTCAATGATTTGGCCCCCCTAAGAACAACCAGGGTAAAAAATCGCGCTGAGCCGTGGATGCACTCCGGCATACTGACCGCCATGAAAACCAGAGACAAAAAATGCTCTGAGTTTCATAAAAGTCAGTCAATGCTTTCCAAAAGCACGAGCAGTGAACTCCAGGCCCACGTGACTGAACTAAAAATTGAAAGAAACAGACTAAGAAATGACGTAAGCTCCATGATCAAAACTGCCAAAAAGAATTTCATCAATGACAAAACTGAGGAAAACAAAAATAAACCCCGTGAACTTTGGAAATTACTCAATAACCAGCTTGGCTGCAGTAAAAAACTCAAAACGAGATTTTCAAACGTAAACATAAAGACAGATAACAGGCTCATCACAGACAAACTGGATGTGGCCAAGTACTTGAACATTTTTTTCACAAACATAGCCACAACTCTTGTAAATAAATTACCCTCCCACTCAGGGCTTTTTGGAGTAGATCACATCATGACCTACTACAAAAACCTAGGGGTACGCAAAGATGATTTCAGTCTAGCAAGGGTAACAACAGCAGAGGTACTCATTAAACTGAGCGCCCTCAAACCTAACAAGGCCACTGGCCACGACAATATCCCCTCCAAATTCCTCAGAGACACAGCAACCGCCATCTCACCAGTCATAGCTCACATAATTAACCTCTCCATAAAACAGGGAAAAGTACCCAAAGACTTCAAAATTGCAAGAGTAACCCCCCTGCACAAAAAGGGCAGCAAATTGGACCCAGGCAACTACCGCCCTGTTTCTATACTTACCTCCATCTCGAAAGTCATGGAAAAAATAGTATATGAACAGGTCGAAAAGTACCTCGCAGAAAAGAAACTAATCTATGAATTTCAATCTGGCTTTAGAACATCCCACTCCACTGACACATGCCTTCTTTATTTGAACGACCACATCAAACAAGAGGTGGACGAGGGTAAATACTGCGGCATGGTGATGCTGGACCTACAAAAGGCTTTCGACACTGTCAATCACCCCATTCTGATTGACAAGCTAAAAGCAATTGGTTTTGATAAACTATCGGTGAGCTGGATGCAATCCTACCTGGAGGGGAGAGAACAGATGGTGGAGGTAAACGGTACTCTGTCCCCCCCCCTCCCAGTGAGCTGTGGTGTTCCACAAGGAAGCATATTAGGTCCGTTACTGTTCCTAATTTATGCAAATGACATGTCATCAGCATGTGACTGCAACTTGTTCCTGTTCGCGGACGACTCAGCCCTGCTGGTCTCTGACAGGAGCAGATTGCAGGTTGAAAAAAACCCTCAGCTCCGAGCTCGGCAGAATCTGCACCTGGCTCGCCGATAATAAATTATCATTACACCTGGGTAAAACAGAGTCCATTCTCTTCGGTTCGAAACATAATCTCAGCAAATCCGACGACTTCTCAGTTGCAGTGGGTGACATTATTGTCACAAGTAAGAAGGAAATTACATACCTAGGATCTATTCTTGAGGCAAACCTCTCCTGTGACAAAATGGCATCCAATGTAATAAAAAAAGTCAATCAAAGAACTAGATTCCTATACCGGATCTCCTCTCTGGTAAACAAAAACACCCTGAAAACTCTGGCAGGAGCACTCATTCAAGGGTACTATGACTATGCTTGCACGTCATGGTACCATAGCACCTCCAAGGCGCTAAAAATAAAACTTCAAACATCGCAAAATAAACTGGTCAGACTACTGCTTGACCTTTCATCTAGAACCCACCTCACCTCTGCCCACTTTGACAACCTAGGATGGCTTAGAGTAGACGACAGAGTACAGCTACTTGCAATGGGCCTGGTCCACAAGATCCACTACACCTCTATGGTACCCATGTACATGTCAAAATTCTTCCCAAAGGTCAAGGAATACCATGATCATAACACCAGAGGGAGCTCCACAAATCATGTAAAACCCAGATTTGGCACAAAAAAAGGGGAATACACGTTTCGCAATTATGCCACATCAAGGTGGAACGCTCTTCCCACAACTGTAAAGGAAAGTAAAACTATACTTACCTTCAAAACCTCTCTTAAAGAGCACCTTCGGGGGAAAGCATTGCAAAACTGGCCCCGGTAATGGTACAAATCTCAACCTGTCGTACAATGGACAGATTCCCCCCCCCATCTATGTATATACTCGCATTTCAGACTCTGTTACTAACTGTATATCTGTAGACTTGGTATGTCTTAAATGTCCGGTTAGGATGTATTACAACGAAATCTAAAATGAAAATTGTAAATAAGCCATCTGTATGTAAAAAACCACCTGTATGTAAATTGTAAATAAGCCATCTGTATGTCAAATATGTCTTATATGTCTTAAATGATATGATGAATTGGAAATGGGGGACCCTGATGTAAACAAGACGAAAGTCTTTCTCTGGTCTGCATCCCCTTAACAATTGTATGTTTTGAGCTGTACTGTACTGTACCCAATATACAAGCTGTTAATAAACTTTTCAATCAATCAATCAATCACGTATATATGATATTTAGGCTCGCTGGTCTCAATGGCAATGAAAATGCACCAGGGGAGGCAGCCATAACCTCTGCCGCACTGAAGGGGGCGCACGTGAGCCCACAGGTTATTGTTGCTACTGTAATTCTACGCAGAGACGGTAGACGTAACAACAAACTAAACTTTTGAAACTACAGGAAGATAAGGAGGACTTTTACAAAAAAGTAATAGAGATTGTTGTCCAGAAGGATAGCATGGACTTCATCTTCAAGTCAAGGTAAGACCACATTTGTAATGAAAATGGGATCTTACTAAGAAAGAAACTATCCAATATTTAGATTGTGGGTATCCTTTTGTTGAACGGTCTGTTTAAAATGAATCGAAGCATCAGACTAAAAAAACTTTTGAAAATAACCGAATATTTCGATTAAGGTCAAAATATAATATTTGTAAATCTGACTCAGTGAGTCAGTGCCTCACCAGCCATGAACCTCACCGCACGTCACTGCTGAATACTTTCTATGGATTTCAATGGCTACTTTTTTTTTTACGATGTTGTATTTTATTGTTGCCTCTGTGTTTAGTGTCCTGTCTGTCTGTAACTTTGTGTGGTAGTGTTACCACTGACAGGTCTCTCTTGGAAATGAGACATTGTGTCTCAATGAGATTTTACACCTGTATAAATAAAGGCTAAATAAAAAAAAATTAAAAAAAATGTACACTGATGAGGTAAATACAGAATAAAACATTTATAAAAAAAAGTGAGTCCCCTTATCTGTAATCTAAAGATTAGATGTTATAAAGGAAGGTGTAGGGCAGGGCTTCTCAAACTCCGGACCAAGATCCGGATCCGGACCGAACTGCAAATCAATCCGGACCGAACCCTGTGTCCCATTATTAAAAAAAAACAAAAAAATATTTTTTTTAAAATTCGGATTCTGATAAATTAATGTACATCATTGTGTACGCGCGTCTTGTGTCTGACGCATTGTGAGAATGAACGTGCATATATATTTACTTGTGTGCGCGAGCGTGACACGCATTGCAGACCGCAAGTTAACCGCAAGTTTACCTTGACTTTCTAATGCTTCTAATGCCTTTTTTGCCGAGGTTCAAGGCATTGGCTGCAGACAAACAGTGCCATTTCTCCCACTAGTTCAAGCCACCATACTGTATGTATGTATTGAATGTGTGTGTGTATACAGGGGCGCCGTTTGCCGACAGTCAAGGCAGGCAAGTGCTTGGACCAGAAGTGGGCCCCCAAAGAAGGTAGATTAAGAAGGTCCACAGCAACGACAACATGAAACATCCTTTAATTTACTGCAACGACATGCATAGAGCGCCGTAAGAAACTGCTTCTTAATTTCAGTTTCGTTTCTCCGCTCCGGGGGGGGGGGGGGGGGGGGGGGGGTACTTTACTGGCATTGATCCGGACCAGTGACCTTGTATAAAGTTCACAAGTGGACCTTTAATTAAAAAGTTTGAGTACCCCTGGTGTAGGGTTATATGTATTGTCCCAGAGGGGAACATTGTTTTCGACCCAGTGCTTCTGTTGCTCTTCCTAAAAATTAAAAATTAAAAACATCTGACATCATAAAAAGTTGACATTGACAACAATGCTTAAACAATAACCTGTGAGTGCAAAATGTACAGTATATATTAATATGCTGTTTGTTTTGCCAAGCGCCCTTGGGTTTCATGAAAGGCACTATATAAATCAAATGTATTATTATTAATACTGAATATTAGCCTTCCTTTGAATTAAGAACATTTTGGTGAGAAAGGAGAAACAACCCCCCAGAGCAACACCACAGTGGTGACCGCCGCTTCCTCCAGCCAGCCTGAGGAGGGTCCCAGTGACGGGGAAATAATGACTGCAGAGCTGACAGACATCATCAGCCAGTTCATGCAGAACGTAAGTTTGAAGACGAGTCAGGATATTACTAAGTTGCCATAAAATGCACTCAACCATTTATCAACATTCTTCTATTTAGGTGGAAGAATTCAAATTGAGTGTGAGCAAAATGTCAATGAGCACGGCAGAACAGCAAATGGTTAGTATTGTTCCTTTTCAGATTTCTATATGTGAAGTACAGAATATGGTGATGAATAAAATATAAATCGTGTCCCTTGTCAGATGTTGAGGAGCATGATGGAGGCTCAGGACCAACTGGAGAGAAAATACATCAGTAGGAAGGAAGAGCACCGAGCTCTGGAGATGCAAAACTACATGGGCCTGTGTAGGAACGCCGGCACATTTGACCCAAACAGGTTAAAACCACACAACCATCGCACCACTGTGAAAGTGTCAGTATCATTTGTTTGCATCCATTCACGAAATGTGTATGTGTGTGCTAAAACATGTGCAGGTTGGTGGAGGGAGACATTTTCAGGATAGGGATGCACCTTGAGGACATAAAGGAGATGATAGATAAAAACGTGTGTGAGCAGATATCTCCACCCCACTCGTCCTCCACTCCCACACACATGAAGGAGATGCTGCATGTGAAGCCCACTCCTCTCTGCATGCACACACCCTCACCTCCACCATCCCTGCATGAGGTAACCAACTCACAGACACACTCACTGATCTTGGAATCTCAGTCCACCACTCAGTCCAAATATTTCAATAATTATTAGACAGATCGGCATGAAATTGACATTTTTGGCTTTGTTTGAAATGTCACACCACAAAGCTTGGTGATGTTCCACCTGAGGCCTGTACTACGAAGCTGGTTCAACCTAACCTGGATATGTTTGAGTTAGCCGGTTGGCCCAATCCAAAACATACGCGCTCTCGCTAAGCTGTACTACGACGCTGGTTATCAAGTGGATCGCTCAAGCCAGCCGTGTCCTATCTAGTTAGGTGCGCGTTCACATGAAAGGGGTGGTATTTGGAGCATTCGACCAATCTCAAACACGGACAAGCGTACTGACAGCGCAGCGTCATACTTCCTGAATGAAAAGTGAACTTTAATATTAGTCAAATATGAAGAAGTTAAACTTTAAACATCCATGACTTAAACACTTTATCCAGGATAAAAGCCACATAGCTGCACCTGCAAGGTGAATACAGCTGGTAAAAGAAAAAGCGTTTGAATGCGTACATTAACAGGTTTATGAAATCACTGCCCCGTCCAAGACACGAGTGGATCTGACTTTAATTACATTTATCAACTTAATGTGTTGCTTAAAATAATACTTCTGCATACAGTATGTGACACTGTGAGTGTTGCACGGCCAGATACGGCTCAAGAAGCTGACTCAGATAAGGAAATATATGATACATTATGATATGATATGAATGATAATGGGACACATCGACGTCTGCACTCACAGTGCCGCGGACTGTACTTAATGTTACTCTGATCCGGTTACTTATGTTGTGGCAGATATTTAAGTAAGCTTTCTTAACGCTAATGTTATAATAGTCAGATTGCTCTGAAGATGGGAGGTGATATTCTATTCATTTTCACGTTCACACAGTCAGTTGATTTTTGCCGGCCATCTTTCCTGCAACGGCAGTTTTTCTGTATTTCCTCTATCCTGTAATATGACTTGATAGCTTTAAACTCTGCACACGGAGCTCTGATTGGTCAGCAGGCGGTGCTTTCACTGAGTTGATCTCTTAGCCTGCAACCTAACCTCCTCCCGAGGAGGTTAGCCGCTCAGCATAAGTTACCATGGAGATCTAGCCCGCTAAAAAGAGAACCAGCGTCGTAGGACCGGAGAGCCCGAGTTTTCCCTGAAGTTAGCCGGCTAAGCGAAAATCCGGCTTCGTAGTACAGGCCTCAGGTCTGACAGATAAACCGACACATTTATTTATTTGTATTATTTATATGTGAAATGATAGATTTTAAATGCAAAAGATGGATAAGTTCTGACTATTTAAAAACAAAAACATGAATGTTAAAAGGAATTGGAAATAGTGACATTTAACAATATATACAATATGTGTAAAATATGTAAAAAGAAGAATCATTGACACTTTTCTAAATTATTCTAACTGCAAATTGTGTGACTGTGTCATGTTTTAGAGGCCAAGTGCACGTTTTTCTACTGAGGTGTATAAGACGGAGGAAGAGGAAGAAAAAGAGGAGGAAGTGGAGGAGGCCAGTGAAGTCCATGAAGATGATGTGTTACAACAAAGCAGTGAACTCATAACAACGGACATTTTACTGAAAAATAACAGCTACTCCCATTCAAGGTGCTTATTAACATTTTTGAAACAATCGAAAAATATATGAATAATGTAGTGTGCAGAAAAAGTATCTCCCTTGTTTAGGATGCTATATCAAATATCCCACTGTGCATGTTTCACTGTTAGAAGTGTTCCTTGCTATTGATGTTTTGAGAGGTTCTTGCATCTGTGTTTGTGCTCAATAACAGGCCCGTTCTCAGCCTTCCTGTGGGCAGATAGTGTTTCAGGTGCAGTGTTGGTGTTAGGTTCCACACAGTGTTTATGTCTCTGTGTGCAGGTTCTCCTCTCTGTCCTGCATCAGGAGCTCACTGGGCTCTCTGGAAGGACTGGAAGGACAGACAGCTGAAGAAGAGAGAGGCTCTGTCTCGTCAGAGGCGTTGGATCACAGTAACATCTTAGCATACTTGAGTGAAAGCAGCTCATCTTCAAGACTGAGGCATTGGACACCCCACAGGTAAGTGTACCTGACCATATAGAAGTAGAAGAGCTAACTGTTACCCCTTGCATGGCTAATACAAGTAATCCGTCTTGTAATTGCTTCAATGTGTAAGTGAGCTAACTTCACATGTATTTTAAACTTTTAAACAACAAAACTCTCACCCTCCCCTCTCCCTGCTCCACACACTCACTAAATATCTCACTTGTTGTTGCAGTAGTAGCACCCCGGATAGTGTCCTGAACCAGGCAGGTGAATGTGATCTGGGCGAGAGTGTTAGTCTGGCTGTGGAGATCTCGTCTTCCTTCGATGCACCCAGACCCTCAGACAGCCACAGTCCCTCAGAGCCGCCCCTCAACACCTCTTCTGTATCACAGGTCAGTCACAGGAAGTTGATCGTGTTTAAGTTATAGTGACGTGGAGGATGCACTGGCTTCTTTATTTTGACTGATGTGTGGTTTTTCTGGGATGCAGAGGATTGTGAGCCCAGAGACAGACAGTGGATTTGGGAGCTCATACTTAAATCAATCCACCTCCGGACCATTTCAGCAGAATCTGCTCACAGAAAGGTACACATCCATCCAAGTATTTATTCAAATGATCCACAGGCATTATGTACATAGCAATAACAGTTTGATCCTCCCATCTACAGTGTGCAGTCCCAGAATGATGGTTTAAGTAGCTCAGCCAGTGAGGGCTCCTGCTCCAACGTGCAGACAGCCATCCACCCTGTCCCCCAGCGGTGGGCCAGCCCCCACCCATCTGTCCAGACACAGTCCTGTGGTGCAGCATTGGAGCGCTGGGTGGAGAGCACCACCAAGGAGCCTTCAGTCAGGCTGCAAGGTGAGCAAATCTGCCGGAAGGAAGAAGATCTGCTTTTATTTGATCTGGTCAATAAAGAAATGATTAACTCTTTTCAACCACTGACCGAACAGAGTTTGAAAGCAGCCTCTCTGCCCAGCTCCATCACCAAGTATCTGAACCAGCACTGAGCATCACCATGGATACGGAGGAGAGAGGCAGCCCGCTGGACTCGTGCTCCTGCAACAGGTCAGTATGTTAAAACACACAATAAAGTAAATCACATAGTACAAATCTGATACAAGTCTTAATCTTCACACTGCCTGTTTTCATAGTGGACGTCTGCACATCTCTTGTGTGTTTTCATGTGCTTAGCGAGGCTATCCTGGCCTTGCAGTCAGAGGTATCCCGGCTGAAGAAAGAACTGAACGAGGGCTTGGTCCAGCTGCCTCATCTGGCACAGAAGATGGACTATCTCACCTCCAAATACAGGCAGGAGCACAAGTCTAAAACCAGACCCCGGACTCACCACAGACCAGCATGCAACAGGTGAGGAGCGGGTCCTTCGATTGGAACAGAAGGATAATGGGCAATGTTAGGGTGTGTTGATGTAACATTTAGTTGTATTTTACCTTCAATATTTATTGGATAACAATCAGATAACCACAAATAAAAAGCTTCCATGAGATAAACAGATACTGCACAATAGATGCAATTCCAGAATATTCCTTTTAGACAGTTGATCAGACATGGTGATCCTTTTTATTCTTACCTTTGTTGTGTGAAGGCCACAGAGTAACACACAAACTGTGTGCGATCTTAGTTCCAGTGAGGTGAGGATGGAGGACTGGATCGCTTCAGACATGGACCCAAGGAAGAGTAAAGGTACCCTTCTACCAGTTCACACTAATAAGCAAATTGGAGCAAAACACTCCATGTCTGTAATCATGTTCTCTTCAGGTACAGACAGTGGTGACACATCTGGCTCTGAGATGATGTTACAGCTGCAGAGTTCACCTGTAGAGGGCAGGAGAGGCAGCAGCAGTGTGCGATCTGCACCTGAGAGTCAATATAAGCTACATGAGGCGCTGCAATCCAACAGAGGTCAGGGCCACACGTTGTTTGACAGTTCAGGACATCATTAATTTGCTTCTGAATTTCATTTGATGTACATTGAAAGGATAATGAATGTAATATTGTGTCCTTCAGGGTCAGAGGGAAAGGACTCTCGTCTGACCAGCTCCCCTTTAAAAGGAGGCAAGCAGAGAACACAAAGTAAGTTATTTTATGACCTTATGATTATAACGTCAACAGTTTGTTGTCATTGTGATTATTTAATGAAACAGTATGTGCTGTCTTAAATATGAGATTTCAATTGTGTTTTTCCAAAATAAACTAATTGGCATATACTAAAAAGCACAATAACAACAGTGTCCAACAGGGCAGAGATAAAACACAATCCCTAACTTCAAATAAAAAAAGTCATACATTATGCAGTATTGAGTTTGCTTGGAATACATACCGTAGTGCTTTTCATGTCTCTGCTGTTAGCTGCCATCATGGAGAGTTTTTACTCCAAGGGGAGGACGTCTCTTTTCTCCTCTCTTCAGAAGCCTCTTCTCCAGGTCAGCTACGGCTCCTGCAGCAGCCTGCCTGCAAGGTGAGCAAGTGACACAAACACAACTCTAACTGCAAGCAGACATATATTTATCAGAGGTTTCCCACATAAACATATTCAATGATATCATTCTCTCTTGCATTCTGTCCTCAAACTCAGCTATAAAGTGAGGGAGCCGCCGCTGCACACCACGTCCCATCACAGAAAGCGCTCCACCCAGTCAGACACCGCCCTCCTGCCCAGTGATGTGTACTTCCAGAGGACACCGTCCCCAGCAGCAGTGTCCTCAAAGACTATCAGCAAGACAGGCAGACGCAGAGGGAGCAAGGTGAGACATCCCACCTCTACACATGCATGGCTGCTGACTATTCTGTCACACATCCTGTCTGTATACAGGAACATCTGCTGTGTTCCTTGACAAGAAAAGCAAACAATTTGTCATTGTTGTGAGTTTTAGTCCATGCTCAGCTCATGGAAACTTGTTTTAGGAGGAAGAAATGAGCAGGACTCTGGACCAGGCTATAGAGGTGGCCCGCAGCATGAAGAGGACCACCGACCGCCTGGCCAAGAGGCTGTCAGCTGACCTGGCAGAGGCTCATCTCCACAGTAAACTGCACAAGCAGCCACGAGGGGGCAGGAAGCATCGCCACAACAAGAAGAGTTCAGATCAGTTTACTCTGTGATCATCAATCTGTACTGTGTGTCTTTGTGGACAATTCATTGTTGGATAATAAGTTATTTAAAGAGGTGTTTGTGTTAAGTTATTGTTTTTTTACATGGTTGTATGTTTGTTTATTTATAATTTCATTGGAAGTCTGAAATCACACTGCAAAAATTAAAAATGTAAACCTTTGTAGAGTGCACTTTTATTTATGAATTGCATTTTATGTTAAACATGTTTACATTGTTATTACATGCCTTAATGCCACTTCATTATTTTTAAGGAAAAGCATCCAGCATCTCATTTATTTTCACACCGGGAAAAAAACCAATGTCCAACACAAGATGACTGATATGATGCAAATGTGACCTCTAGTAAGGGCCCAAAATCGGACAAACAGCAGAAGAAGCAATAAACATAAACCCTGTTTTTTTATAATCCGTCTTTTTTTCAGTTCTATTTCACCTGCTTCCGAACTATTAGATATCCAGTCCAGTCAAGCTGCCAAAGGATTAGGACATCTATTTAAATCAAATTAAAACCAGGTCAGATTTTCTATCTTACATTTCAGGAAAATCCCTCTCTGTCGTTATTTCAGATGAGTGTCCTCATAGCTGCTATGCTGATGTGACACCTTAATGCGCTGGCCTGTGGGTGCTGCTGACACAGTGTCTGCTTACTGAGTTTCTGTCGGAGGGCTTTGTCGTCTCACAGCCTGCTGGTGCCGGGCTGACTTCAGTTTTTGTTTGCAGGTGTCTAGTTTCCCTGTTGTTCTGAGGGGGGTATCAGGGAAAAAGACGTGTCCAAACAACATTCCTGACCTGCTCTGTCTGATTGTTTAAAGTACAGGTGATATTCTCAGTGTTCACCAACCTGAAGGCCACCAGCAGGGCAGAGTAGTCACAGTGAGGGAAGCGTTACCAGGGCAGTCTGATATTTAGACACAAATACACAGCAGGAAGTGTGAGACAGCACCAGGTCACTGTCTGGATCAAGGATTTTAGTGTGGTTTATCTCATGTTGAATGTGTAATAACCATAGACTGTATATATAAAGGTAATAACCCATTTTTAATGTACACAAAAGCTGCAAAGATTTTGTTTTTTACGTTGATTAAATGAATCGCCTATTTTGATGGTTGATTAGTCAGTTTGAGTTTTATTTTTGGAAAAAAAAAAGCTTTTTAAATATGAAGAGATTTACGTCACTGTACCCAGGAAGAAACAAATGGAAAAAAAGAAATCTCCAACGAGGCGTTCTGGGGCAGCATAGACAGGTCTTTTCTGTGTTAGAGTTTTACTCGCTACAGGGTGTACTTTGAGGGTTTGTGACTCTGCAGACCGTTTACATGCATAAAAACCTTCATAACACACAAGGGGATGGGTAATAACCAGAAAAGCATGACATGGGACCTTTAAAGGAAACGCTGTGTAGTATTATAGTCATTTCCAAATGACTTTTAATACAAATAATGATTGTTATTTGCCTTCGTGAAACCTGACTGCATGCCACATAAAACTTTCGGTTAGCCTTTTCACCTCATATCATGTTTGCAAATTGCGTGTGTGTGGTGCATGTTTGTGTTTGTGTGAAGCAAAACATGTGCCCCTTACAGTAAATGAGACAACAAAGATAGTTTTCCCCACAAAGAAATAAATATGATTAAAAAAGAAAGGTGCGGGAAACACACAGAAAACGATTGGATAACTCCTTTCGTTGTGATTATCAGACAACAACATTTTTAACAGCTGACAAAATAAGACAATTGAGGATAAAGGAAATGCTGATCAATTTCTCAACATTTTTGGAAAGTGTGTGCTATGCAGTATTTTAGTCATTTCTAAATGATCAGCAGCACTGCAATGAGTGTGCGTGGTGCATGTTTGTGTTTGTGTGAAGCAAAGCATGTGCCCCTTACAGTAAATGAGACAACAAAGATAGTTTTCCCCACAAATAACTAAATATGATTAAAAAGAAAAGGTGTGGGAAAGACACAGACACTGATTGGATAACTCCTTTCTCTGAGATTATCAAACAACAAAAGTGTTCTTTACTTATGATATCTTTATGATATTCACTCCAATTGAAGGGTCAAAGGACTTGACTAACGAGGTTTACTGGTCATCTGCCCTGCTACCTCCTAGAAAGTTGCTGAGGATTCTTATTTTGTCTTTAGAGGATTTTAACAGCTGATTTTCTTTGTCTGCTTTGGTAGGGATTCAACATTTTATTCAAAGTGGGCCTTTGGAGTGCTGTCCCGGTTTTGTAAACATGTTTTGGGGATGAGAAACATACGGTCCTTTTTCTATTTGTACTGTATCAATGTGCAGAAGGAAGCCTGCATCTACCCATGAGAGGCTCTTGGTCATGACAATGCGAGATATAAACATTAATGGTGTCCTCTTTGACGTAAGCTAAAGCTCAGGAGAGCCTGTTGTCCATGAGTAGACACACGCATCCTTCTGCACAGAGCTAGGGTAGAAAATAAATGTTCCTACATGACACAACTCAATAAAAGGTCTGTTAATTATCTTGACTAAACACGTAATGATTTGAGATCAAGAAAATCTGAATTGTTTTATATTGTCCTAATGATAAGATAAAACAATGATTTGCTCCATTTACCATGACTTGAATTACGTTGTAACATAATATACAAAACAATGAAAGATCTGACACTGTTACTTTTTGTTCTGTGAACTCTTTTAAAGCGTCATTATCTAATTTCCATGGAGTTGAATATGAGCAGCTCCTTCCTTTTGGCCTTATGCACAAAAGATTTTATCTAGGCTCCTTGGATCCTCCCTACCATCTTCATAACACACCTGACGCCCACTGGGGAGAAGAAAAGCTATTATAGCTATTATAACCTCACCTCATCTCAACTGTGTCACCTTAACTGGAACCGTTTGAACACTGAACTGTGGATACATTCATGTTATAACAGTACGGTAAATGTAGCTCTAGTAACATGTAATATATTAAATTAGTTATCCAAATGCATGTTGTATGTGGTTACATGATCCAGCTTGTTTCTGCTGGTTTAATTTGTTTGCAAGTGTTGTGGTGAAAGAAACTATTTATTTCAGTTGATTGAAAGATGAAGTATCTATGTCATGTGCTTCAGTTGCAAATGCTTTACCTTATTGACACCTGCAGACACACTGTATTGATTTGTTCAGTTAACAAAGTGTGGTTCTTAGATTTGAGTAGACAAATTGATGACTAAATTATGAATAACTTGTAGAGAGGTGTCATCTATCACAAGATATCATGGATCTACCCCAGTAGATAATGTATTGTTTGAATGAAACCTTAAACAGGCCATGAAACCTCCTGAAAAATAGGTCACTAATATCAAGTTATTTTTTTGTTATATTACTTAGCTGGGAGGTTAGGGTAGTTTTCATTGATTGTTGACTACAATCAGGAATCAATTTGCACCATTTGTGCTTTTTAGAGACACAGTTGTTAAAACAAAGGATCTGCAAGACAGTTTTTCCTCTACATCCTCACCTAACAAAGATCAGCGGTCTTCTCCGGCTCTGATAGGCCACCAAACAGCCCCGTGGGGAGGAGTTACAGCCTTTGGGCTCTTTGTATTTGCTGAAACAATAAAGTACCTGTCGTTTCATCTGAGAAAGGGAGGGAGGGAGAACAAAAAAAAGAAGTCAAATTTAAGCCAGAGCTTCTTCCCTAAAGTCATTTTGAGAAACAGCATCACACATCTCGCCTCAAGGCAGTGGCTCAACAGAAAAAAGTCATGGGAACGCCAAAATTAAAAATGCTGAAACTTTTGCTTTTATTGACCTTCACAGAGGTAAGACATTATACTTTTCTCATTTCACACTCATTTCCTCTTAAATGTTTTAACCATAACTACAAATAACAATTTCAGTGTCATTGGTGTATCTTTTCAAATCTTTGAAATAGTGCATATTTTATACATCCAGTTAATAATCGTGTGCAGAGGGAGGACTTTTGAGTTATATGAACACAGGGTCTTTTGAGTGTCACTGCTTTCAACAAGTGCATGTGGCATGCCCAACCTTAGCTCAATAGACAAATTCATTCGGACCTGAAAGAAATACCTGCGCCGACCGGTCCTGAAATCTGTGTTGAGTGAAGGTAATGTGCAGCCTGCTGCCTCTCATGCGCCGAGAATATGATACAGGCATTATATCCTGAGGCATTATATCCTGAGGCATTATATCCTGAGGCATAATTTGCCTGTGAGATACCAACAGCTACCCCTTGGAATAATGCTCTTGTTTTGTAGAGTAATGTGTTTTCTTTTGATTTGGATCATGTTATTTCCTTGTTTCATTCATTAACCTGCCATGTTTGATCATTTCAGATCTGTGCTGCACAAAACGGTAAATAGTCCTCTTTTGCATTTTCCTTAACGTTATGATGATTCAAAACTCCCCAAAAATGTAAGCACCTTATTTGAAATCTATCACTTAGAATTATTAACCCCTAAAATGTATTAATTTCCATAAACAAAGGTTAAGTCACCTTTTCTGAATAAACCAAGTATGTGTATTTCATTAGCATCTGGGATTTGATTTACTCACAATATAAAAAAAATCACCCACAAGTCTTTTTAAATGTATCCCATCATAGTTTCCTTCTCTATCTCCCTCAGACATCACTCTGTCCGTGTTTACGGTCACATCTAAGAGTATGACAGTGCAGTGGAGCAGCTACACTGGAGCCAGCTCCTACAAGATCACAGCGACACCAAAAAACACACCTGGACAACCCGTCTTCGCTCACTTCAGTGGCAACGTCGTGACGGGCTCCGTCATCTCCCTGTCACCGAACACAATGTACACCATGCAGCTCGAAGCCATGGACAATGCTCTCAATGTCCTGAGCAGCGCAGACACAGAGGATACAACAGGTCAGTAGCTACTGCAGGGAGAGGTGAAGTAGGACAATGAGTCCTGGGGGCAATTCAGATTTAGATCTTTACTATCCATAAAGAAAGCCCTAATTTATTTTACATTTTTAAATTAGTGGCAAGAGTCCTGAGTCTTAACTTTCTTAATGTATCATACTTTTAAGACCCAAAATCATAAATGAATCAAAAGAAAACTAGTTGTTACTTAAATTACCGTACATTGGACATCACCTTTGGAAGCTTTTATGGACATTTCTAGAAGTTCTATTGTCCAAACTA